GTGAATAGGTATTTATGCGGAATTTTCACTAAGTAATTAATAAATGTAACAAGTCACGATTATTAATTTGTCCAGATCATTTCACATGTTTTACTATCCTATGTTGAATTGCCGAAAATAAGTAAATTACAGTAAAGTAAATAACACAATTATTTGATGATGGAGAAAACCCCTTGCGGGATTAAAAACTCTGCGCTCAAGCTAGTCTGAATCCATTGTAAACAAAAATTCAAATTACAATCCACCAGACGCTATTAACACAAGTTTTTTTGACCTCCTGACTGTAATTTTCCAAAGCTTTCATGGAATGCTTGCTTCTGCACCAACTCCCTGCTCCAAGCCCTCCTGGATTGGGTGCTCCTGCACCAATTTCCGACTTTTAGATTCGTCTATCTCCTATGAGATTCCTGAGGACTCCCCGTTCTCCAATGATCGAAACTCTGATCTTTTTCCTCGATCTTCAAATCTCAACAGATGCTCTAGAAGTTTAGGTTTTGGTGTTTGATGGTAGTGGATTTGATTTTTTGTGTAAGTGCACCAGCAGTATGTGGGATTGAACGAATAGATCAAAGTGTAGAAGGTTTTCTCCAAATTCAATCCACAAAAAGTCTAAAAACGATGCATTTTTATTTAGATAGGATGTTTTGGGTAGTGTGGGCCTAGTCAAAATCTCGAAAATCACAAAATAGGGTTTTCCTGGATTCATTGTCGTTTGAGCGAAAAGCAAGCGATGCTGTTTTGCTCGAGCAAAGCAGTGGTGAAAAGCTAGCGATGGACTCTCTGCTTTTAACGCTTGAGCAATCACTTGGCGAGTAGCTAGCGAAACTTTAACGATATTTCTTGCCCTACTTCACAACTCAAACCCTAATAAACTTTGACAAAATTGCAACTTAGTCCCCAACTTTTACACAAGTACAAATCAACCCAAACTTTTGACCAATTACAAATTGACCCTTTTGATTACAGAATAGCCAACACAAAATCTAACGAACTTCTCCTTTGGCATTCTGTGACAAAACAACAATTCATCAACATTTACTACAATGGCTACCCAAAACAACTGATTGAACAGATTGTTGCTTCGTTTTCTTTAAACTTGTTTCCTGAAATCACAACTTATATACCAAGTGTAAAAGCACGAGAAATGATAATATATGTAAAAGCAATAAAGGCAGATAGTCACTAGTAAACACTATATCATATGAATGAATAAACTAGATTAAGGCTCAATATCAATGTAAGTCAAATAACCAAAAACATACATCAATATTGCAAAACATCAAAAACTTAATCTAGCAGAAATAATGTAAAGTGTCAAATATTACAAGTCTAGAAACTATACAAAATACAACTCCTCCTTTTTGTCACAAATGACAAGGGGATCCCTACACAACTAGGCTGCTCCATCATCCCCATCGTCGTCTCATTAGAATCACCAACATCAGTGTCATAATCCCAGTGCTCCCACACCACTGGATACCCTGCTGAACATATGCAATAGTTATTCTCAGTGCAGCAAACTCAGTAGTATGGTGCTTAGACGTAGCACGTAGATGAGTTATCTCTTCCATCATGTGAGCCTGTTGCTCAATCAATATTGACATCAAACCTATAAGTGCCACTGAAGGGTCAACATGAGCAGTAGTTGGAGCTGGCTGAGCGAGTGGTGGAACAGAAGTAGAGAAAGATGGAATATCAGTAGATGGTGCAAAAGTATCAAAGTGAGACGGAAGAATAGTTGAGAGATCAACAAGAAGGTCACCGATAGGATCAGCTGGCACTGTCGGGTCAGTAGGCTCAGTGGGAGCAGACAAAGAGGAAACATGTGATCGACTATGAGAAAAAGTAGTATGGCCTATGGGATGAAGTGGTCATCAGGAAATCCCATCAGGAAAAGAAGCTCCGAGGTATGTCACCAAACGGTGAATCAGGCACGCATAAGGTAAACCTATCCTATGACCAGGGGTTCGGAATGTACGCAGGATGTGCTGATAGATGAAAGTTGGCAGGTCAATGGAATCCCCATGTAATAGAGCCTATAGAAATCTCACCTTCTCCATAGGTAACGAAGAAGTGTGAAAAATCGACCACAGATTTTGGCACACAAAGTGTACCAAAATTTGTCAGTCAGTAGGAAAGGATTCGGTGTGAATCGCCTGTGGGTCACCTCCCAATGGACTGTTAAACAGGGTGGATCTGATAAAAGAGTCGGTTGGGAGAGTATCAATCGATAAATATGGAAAAAGAGAATGAATGACACGTGGGACATGAATAGTGCTAGAGATAACATTGGGGGTGATCTTAATCGTCTGACCCCTAAGAATTACCCTAAAGGATGACCCACTAACATCATGAAAATTCACATAGAACTCCTGGACCAAGAGATTAGGCGGGGGCTTCAACCCAATCGACAAAGGCTCCCACCCTCGGGAAGTGAAAATGGCTACTAGGTCAGGTGGAAGATCAGAAAGAATGACCTCACGCTCAAATAAGACAGGACGTAATTAAAATTGAGACACAAAGATATCCTGAGCAGTAGAGGAAATAAACCTAGACCGACTATACGAAGTGGACCCATTAGTAGGCTGAGCGGTAGTTCGAGCACGCTTCGGTGGTATTTGACAGAAATAACAGTGGCAAATGATTAGGGACAAATAATATGCAAGAATGGATAAGACCCAAGTAGGAATCTCACAAAATGAAGAAAAAAATGTCCAGTATGCAAAAAGATGCAAAATAGTGTAAGGCGTGCAAAACTATGCAAAACATACAATAAGCACGCAAAACGATGCAACACAGGTGAGTGCATGCAAAACTATGCAAAAACACTCAAAACGATGCATAATAGAGTAAGACATGCAAAACAATGCAGCTAATTGCAATGACATAAACTAATTGCAAGGAATAAGTGATATGTTAGCACGCTATGAGTGACAAGGTGTCATGAAGCAAGTGGCATGACATCAAGACGCAGGGATGAGAATCAATACCCTAGAAGACTTACAATTGGCTGGGACTAAGACTATGATAGTGGTGTGCTAATGCTGCCTAATTAATTGGACAATGTAGTCAAGAGAACATTCATCCTACACGTGTTGTGCATGAGTAGATGGTAAAAAATCCACACTATAACAATAGTCCCAAGACTCCCACTATGAACCAATTGATACTCCAACACCCCCATAGTAAAACAACGTAAAGAGAATACACCCAGATGAAGGCAAAATGCGAAAAAGAATGCCAATAAAAGTGCTAAAGAATAACCTAAAAAAAGCAAAATATCCCTAAACCTATCAAGCAAATTCGACCCCCCATCAATACACAACAAAATGCCAATCAAATACAACTCAAGGGAACATGTATGATGTACAAAATCACAGAAGCCATGAAAAAAATAATGAAATTTCCAAAAAAATATGAGAAAAACATAGTAAACAAAGGTTTTCGAGCAAGTTACCGTGGGAGTGTGTAAAATTGAAGAGGAAATGATGCAATGTGTGGAGAATAAATGCCCAAACGACCAAAGGTGGAAGAATCATAGAGGGGGATGAGAAGAATTGTAAGGGAAAATAGATGAAAATATTTTTTTAAAAAAAATGATTTTAAGGCTATCGTGAGAATTTGAAGAGATGGGACGTCGCTTCAATGAAATTCGAGTGACAATCGAGGGACAGAGATTCTATTATTGTCACTGGAGCAAGGGTGCAGCAAAAATCGAGCGAAAAGAAAATGACAAAAATAGCACCACTTTTGGAAAAACAGATTTTTAGCACCACTTTGAAAACTTTCAATTTTAGCACCTTTTTTTAATGCACACACTTCAACACATGAGACTACCCAAAATGCAATTGATCACAAATATGACACCCGCACTGACTAAAAATGCTTTCCCACACAGAGATCAAGTTCGGATGGAGTAAATTGTATATGTGACCCATACGTGAAAAGTGTCACTAATTCTATGCAAGCAATACTCAAAACCTTAAATTTGTGAGAAGGGGCAACCAAATCACTGCATAAAGAGTCTATTCCCAGATGCATGAAAATCAAATCCAATGCCACTAAGACCTAAAATTCAATGAAATGCGATGTATAATGTTCTTTCTCCCCCTGTCTATAAGCACCTTTTTTTTTAAAATCTTATGTCCAAGCCCATCTTCATTAAGCTACTAAGAAGATCCCTATAGCGAGCTTTGGGTCGGTGACTCCCAAACCAGTAGCCCTTAGGGCAATAGGTTAGGAAAAACTACTCAGACTTAATTGCTCGAGTTAACTACGCTACGAAGACGGGTATAAGATGTACCACAATAAATAATATTTTCTAGCGTAAGCTGGGGAAAACACTAGAATTTAGGTCACCTAGTCCAAGATCAATTCAAGCTCAACGTCAACTCATCAACAGATGATAGCTATCCCAAGTCTCACACATGCGATAAAGACTCATTTACAGGGTCCTAGTGTATGCTGTTCACATAAGATATGAAGTGACATATACCAAGTGCTTCACACTGACTCAATTTAAGTGATGGGAATATTAAGTAACCATGTATTGAATGCATATCTGATCGCAATGTGCAATTTCAAGCAAACAAATATGATGCTGTAGTGACAAGAAAAGACCCTCTTTTTTAAAAAAAATTAAATTATATGATAAAATTAAAAACATATGATGGGAGCAAATGCAATCAAAATAAACATGCAATGCTAAATGCAAAGATGAACAAATGACGTGAACTGTACATGAATTTCCCTACACAAATGGTCAAGGAGTACACATATACCGACAGCCTTTCTAAGTGAGTCGAACCTTAGACCTTCTAGAGGTTTAGTGAATAGATCGGCAAGTTAACAAGTTCTCGAATAAAGTGATGATGAATGTCAATATTTTTAGTCCTAAAATGCTGAATTGGGTTTTTGGAGATGTTGATAGAGCTAGTGTTATCATAAAACACAATCATAGTACCTTGCTTTATTTCATAATCACTCAGTATTTACTTCATCTAAAGCAACTGAATACAACAACTATTGGCCACAATGTATACAGCCTCGACCATAGATAAAGAGACTAAATTTTGTTTCTTACTCATCCAAGACACAAGATTAGAATCAACATAGAAACAACCACCTGAGGTACTTTTTCTGTCAATGGCATATTCAGCCCAATCAACATCGGAGTAGCTGGCGAGATCAAAATTGGACTCTCTAGAGTACAAGATCCCATGATCTACGGTCCCATTGACATAACTAATGATACGCCTCACTGCACTTAGACGTGATTCCTTAGGACCATCCTGAAATCTCGCACACACTCCAACACAAAATGCTATGCCAGGTCTACTGGTTGTAAGATAGAGTAAGCTACCTATCATACTTCTATACAGTGTCTGATTGACACCTCTACCTATAGGATCATGACCTGACTTAATACTCGTGCTCATGAGTATCATTATGTGTTTTTTACTGTCTAATCCAAACCGCTTGACAAGATCTTTGGCATACTTTGATTGAGAAATAAACAACCCATCGTCTGCTTGCTTCATTTGAAGAACAAGAAAGTAACTTAACTCTCGAGCCACGCTCATCTCAAATTCTTGCTCCATGCATTCAGCAAATTCATGAGCAAAAGAGTCAATGGGAGAGCTAAACACAATGTCATCGACGTAGATTTGTGTTATAGTTATGGTTTCTTCAATATGCCCAATGGATAAAGTTCTATCTGTACCACCTCTTGAGAATCCACGATCAACGAGGTATGCAGTGAGTCTATCATACCAAGTTCCAGGAGCTTGTTTCAGACTAAACAATGCTTTATTCAGTTTATAGACATAATTAGGAAACTTGGGGTCGATGAACCATTTGGGTTGTTCAACATATGCTTTTTCTTGAAGTATTCCATTAAGACTGCACTCTTGACATCCATTTGATAAAGTTTAAATCCCCAGGTATAAACAACAACAAGAATGATGTGAATGGACTCGAGACATGCAACGGAGGCAAATGTCTCATCAAAATCAATGCCTTCAACTTGAGTGTACCCCTGGGCAACTAGCCTAGCCTTATTTCTGGTTGTGGTAGCTTGGTCATCCATTTTACTCTTGAAAATCCATTTAGTACCTATAACATTGTAATCATCAAGCCTAGGAACTAAAACAAATTCATTATTTCTGACAAATTGATTTAAGCTCCCCATGCATTGCATTCACCCAACATTCATCTCTAAGGGCTTCCTCTACCTTCTTAGGTTCAATTTGGGATACATAACTCGTGTATGTTAGGTAATTTAGAACTCTTTTACGTAACCTCATACCTTCATCTAGATCTCCAATGATATTATCCTTAGGATGATTCGATTTGACTCTGGACGATGGTTCTTTAGGAAGCCTAGTTTTGTCACTTGATGGTTGATTTTTATCGGGGGTGTCTATGCCTTTAGGAGAGGTGGAGATTTGGGAATAGGTTATTCTTTAGCTTCAGTTATTGCATCTTGATCATCACCTACATCGTCTAAATCAACCTCAATTTCTACACACTCCTCCTTAGTGAACGCATCATCAACCACAACATTATGGACTCCATGACATTTTGAGTACCCAAATTGTACACTCGATATGCTCTACTATTCTTAGAATACCCTAGAAAAATTCTTTCATCACTCTTGGAATCAAACTTGCCTAGATTTTCTCTATTCCACATGATATTTACTGTCAAGCACACGAAAGTATTTGACAGTAGGCTTCTTGTCCTTCCAAATCTCATATGGAGTCTTGTCGATTTTCGATTTAAGGTAAACCCTGTTAACTATATGGCAAGCAGTGTTAATAGTTTCACCCTAGAAATACATTGCTAGGTCCTTGTCATAAAACATGTCCCTAGCCATTTCTTGAAGTACTCTATTTTTCCTCTCAACTACCCCATTTTGCTGTGGAGTGATTAGTGAAGAGAACTCATGCTGAATCCCCTCTTCTAGACAGAAGTTTTCTAGATTAGAGTTTTTAAACTCTTTTCCATGATCACTACGAACTCTAGATATCGAAAGATTTTGTTCAATCCTAAGCCTTTTACATAGAGATTTAACCAGATCAAATGCTTCAGATTTTTCCCTCAATAGTTCAATCTAGGTATATCTACAGAAGTCATCAACCACAGCAAGGATATAACGTTGACCTCCTAGGCTCTCAATCCTAGATGGTCCATTAAGTCCATATGGAGAAGTTCTAAGGGTCTGTTTGTCAATATTTTAAAGGTTTGTTTATGATTTATCCTAAGTTGTTTCCCTTTTTGACAAGGCTTACACATAGCATTTTCATTTTGTTCAATTTTAGGCAAACCATCAACAATTTTCTTTTTGACCAATTTTGACAAACTTTTATAGTTTAGATGATCGATTCTTTGATGCCAAAGCTCAGTCATATCAATTTTAGCACTGCCGCACACATAGTTGAGTTAGGAATAACTCCATAATATTTATCAAAAGCTCTAACACCTTCGAGGACAACACCACCTGAAGAGCTATAAACATTACACCTCTTTTGGACAAAACTCACTTCGTAATTAGCATCACAAATTTTACTTATGCTCAACAAATTGGACTTTAGACCTTCCACATAAAGCATGTTAGGGCCCCATTTGGGAGTGATTTCGAGAATTGATTTTGTGACCGTTATGAGAAAAGTGGGGACCACCTGTGAGAGAAGAAATCAAACTTTACAACTGAAATAGTGAAATAATGGTCAAAAAATCAATTTTTTGGGATGGAAAATTACTCCCAAACAAGCTCTAGATATAGTGGGTAGCCCAGATGTGCTAACGGTACCTTTACCAAGGATAGGTACAGTAGCCCCATTTTCAAAGGTAACCATACCACCATTACAATCATCAAAGGTAGTGAACAAGGCCTTATTTCCACACATATGTCTCGAGCAAGCACTATTAAGATACCACATACATGTATTCTGAGCCTTAAATGCAACATGAGCTACAAAACAATTCAAGTTCTCACCATCCCTAGTCAATTCACTCTTCTTGACCCAAATTTTCTGAGACGATGAGGTGATCCTAGTCAATTTTGTCACCATCTCAGTTAAGTGACTAACCTGATTGGAAAGGAAGCTAACCTGACTAGGGATATCCTGACTTCTATTCCTACTTCCAAGCTTACGACATCTAGGCCTCGTGTGTCCTATAGCTCCACAATAGTAGCAAGTAGGTATAAACCTAGGTTCAAAGGTATGTGTTTGTTGATACTGAGTCTTAGGTGCGGGAATCTTACGTGCTCTAATGGTCTTTGGTTCTAGGACACTTTTGCCTTTGGGATTAGGATTAGCTGCTTTAGTGGACTTGTTGGAGGCAGGAATGAATGTAGTCTTGGATGAACTAGCCATATTACTATCACTCTTCACAAATCCTATACCTTGCCTATTTCCAGCTGGCTTGTTCATTCCTAACAAGTTATCAAGTTTCTTGGTCCCAATCATGAATGCCTAAGTTGAGTATTAGATTTCTCTAGATCACTAGTCAATGTTTTGACTTTGTCTTCTAGTTTTTCATTGACACACTTCAACTCACTAAGGCTTTTGGATGAGACTTGAAGATCACCTGAGATCTTCTCTTTCTTTCTCTCTAGTTCATCTACCTTCTTAAACAGGGCTTTATTCATCTTCTTGATCCCAAGACTCTCCTTAAACAGAAGTGATAAGGCTCATGAATATCGGTCTCATCCTCAGTATCTTTACCAGACTTTTCACTGTGTACATATTCTTCAATCTTATCACTCTCCTTATCTGACTCTCTCCTAATTGTAGACACGAAGGCCATATATCTCTTTTCATCTTTACTGCTAGAGGAGTCATCTTGATCATCATTAGTTAATGACATAGCTAATGCCTTACTCCTTCCTTTTTTTCAAATTTTTTCTTAAAACTAGGACATTCATTCTTATAGTGACCAAACCCCTGACACTCGTGACATCTAACAGCTTGAGCTTTCTTACTAGAGCTCCTAGCTTAATTTATCACTGTTATCTTTCTAGAATTTACTAGGGGCTCCTCTTTTTTCTCTCTTGTCCTTTAAAGCTTTTTAGAATTTCGTCACAAAGTAAGCGATCTCCTCATCCCTAAGGTTTCCATGTTATAGAACCCAGACTCCTCTTCCTTAACTATGTTCGAAGCTATGACTTGTTTTTCTTAGGCTGTAAAATGGTAAGTTCATAGGTTTGGATGGATCCTATAAGTTCCTCTATCGTTACCATGTCTAGGTCCTTGCTCTCTTTGATTGCTATAACCTTGGCTCTAAATCTCTCGGACAAAGACCTAAGGACCTTCCTAACAATTTTGGTCTCGGAAATCCTCTCACCTAGGTTGAAGCTAGAGTTCACAATGTCATTCAACTTTGCGTAAAATTCATCAAACGGTTCGTCTTTCTTCATCCTAATTTCTTTAATCCTAGAGACCATTATTTTCAATTTAGAATTTTTTACGATTTTGGTTCCTTCATGTGTAGTCTCTAGAATGTCCTATACTTCTTTAGCAGTTTCGAACATTGACACTCTTCTAAACTCTTCGGGGGACACAGCCATAAACAATGCATGGAGTCATTTGCTATTCCAGTTACAATCAGTTAGTTCTTCCTTAGTCCAAAGGAAAATATCAGTAGGAGTGACTACACCTGACACAATAGTGAACGAGGCTTTTCAACCATTTTACACAATCACCCAAACACGTTCATCTAGGGACTTAAGAAATGCACGCATCATAAATTTCCAATAGGCCTAGTTATTTTCGTCAAAATACAGAGGCACCAATAGTGATTGAGTCACCTAGACAACTATTCGGGTCAGAACTTGAGATTTGGCTCTGAGACTACTTGAAATAATGTAGTTTGACCCAAATAACACCTAAATAGGGGGTGAATAAGTGTTTATGTGGAATTCTCACTAATTAATTAATAAATGTGACAAGTCACAATTATTAATTTATCCAAATTATTTCACATGTTTTATTATTTGATGACGGGGAAAACCCCTTGACGGATCAAAAACTCTGAGCCCAATCTAGTATGAATCCACTATAAACGAAAATTCAACTTACAATCCGCCAGACGCTACTAGCACAACTTCCAAAGCTTTCCTGGAATGCGTGCTCTTGCACCAACTCCCGACTCCTAGTCCTCTTGGAATGTGTGCTCCTACACCAATTCTTGGCTCTTAGATTCATCTATCTCCTGTAGATTCCTGAGAACTCTCCGTTCTCCAATGCTCGAATCTCCAATCTCCTTCTCTAATTATCAAATCTCAATAGATGCTCTGGAAGGTTAGGTTTTGTTGTTTGATGATAGTGGATTTGATGTTTTGTGTGAATGCACCAACAGTATGTGGGATTGAATGAATAGATCAAAGTGTAGAAGGTTTTCTCCAAATTCAATCCACAAAAAAGTCTGAAAACGGCACACTTGTATTTATATGGGGTGTGTTGGGTAGTGTGGGTAGGGTGAAAATCTCGAAAATAACAAAATAGGGTTCTCCTAATAGCACTGTCACTTGAGCGAAAAGCGAGCGACGCTGTTTCGCTCGAATGAAGCAGTGGCGAAAAGCTAGCGATGGACACTCTGCTTTTGATGCTCGAGCAATCACTTGGCGAGCAGTTAGTGAAACTTAGACGACATTTCTTGCCCTACTTCACAACTCAACCCTAACATACTTTGACAAAATTACAACTTAGTCCCCAGCTTTTACACATGTACAAATCGACCCCAAACTTTTGAATATTGACAAATTGATCCCAAACTTTTGAACAATTACAAATTGACCCTTTTGATCACAGAATAGCGAACACAAAATGTAACGGAATAGATTTAACATAACTCTGTTTTAGAAATGTAGCCATCATGAGATCAAAATGACACATTCATATACTTCGTAAGAGATAAGCTAAACTGACTTCCAAAAGAAGTTCAATTGAGTAAAAAATTACCAAAAGATTGATAAATTACGAAGATTATTTGACTAACACTACAAAATATTTAATTCCATGATTTCTGAAAATTGAAAAAGATAAACCATCTTTTCATTATGAAAGTTTTTGTATCAGCAGTAATACATATTCCATTTTGGGACAGAGCTTGAGCCTTACTAAGCTAACTAGACTCTTAAGCAATATGGGTTTTCCAGAATTCAAAAGATGCATTTTAATAACTTAATAGATCCTAAAATATTTCATTGGCTCTGTCATATATCTTCTAAAGCAATTCTATTGGGGCCAAAGCAAAAAACCACAATCCCATTATACTTACATATCACTACTAAATCGGGGACACAAAGTTAGTTCAATTGTAGTGCCAAAACAAAATTTTGATCAGACTAGGTCTCCAAAACTACAAAATGCCTAACTAACTGGTTGTACTGACATTTGAAATCTGGTTTATCCACATTCAGTCACTTCGAGAAAAAATATGTTCACTAAAACTCATACAGCATGACATAGACAGATAGGAACTAATATCAATCAAACTAAGTTCATCATCCAATAGCTTTCCCTCACAATTTCACTTGACTTATGTATGAATTAGTTTATATTTCATTACATTGCTCTAATTCCCAAATTAAGATGAGATATAAACATTATCGGACATATTATACTGGCAATAATTCACTGCCAACTTACTAATTTTGACCCATTCATATGATCTAGAAATGCAATTATTTGCTATCACTACAGAACGCATGGGTTATCTTATCAAATGATACAACTACAACTGGAAAGCTTAAGAACCAATAATTATTGAAAAAGGAATAGCATATTACTTGCAAAAAGTGGAAAATGAATTTTTTTTTAAAAAAAATTAGAACTTACATTAACATGGAAATTTCTAGCCACATGTGGAGTGGTAGTGAAGTGCCAAATCCCTTTCACATACATTCGCAAACTAACTCCATAATTAGGGATATTGAGGATATTTTAAAGATGATAATAATGATATATCAAAATGGAATAGCTCAGATTAGTCTAGAATTTTGAAGAAGTGTGGGACTTGTTCAATTTTAGGGTGTTGGGCTTCACCAATAATTAGGTTTCTGATTAGTTTGATGGGGCATTTGCAAAAATGTCCAATTTCACATATGTCAATTTAAAAATGTCCACTTTTGATAATCTTTGCAAAAATGGCCAAATTTGATATCAAATTCTCTATTTTACCCTTAATGAAAGAATAAATAATTCTCAACTCTTCCTTTGTAAGTTGACACTGATCTCGAGAAGAGCAATGGCTTCTATGAGAAGCTACAAAAAATTGTTGCTATTACTTATGCTTATCCACTTGCCTACATTTTTCTTTCGATATTAACAAATTATTTTAGGAAAAATGAAGAACATGAAATAGCAAGCATTAACAACCAGAAAGAAATCTACGATTTCAACTCCAAAAGAAGAAATAATTATTTTATGTCGAGAAATTTAACGTCATCGAAATTTGAAGTTGACTAGGCTCTCCTCATTTCTAGGCAAAAGATATTTTCCTTTGATACCTGATGTTTATTGAGAAGTGGTGTGTAGTAGTTCTTACACATTTGATTTCATTGTGGTAGATTGTCCAAAAATAGTAGATATTTGTCATGACCTTCTTAAAGTAATTTAGATAGATAATAATTTAAGGTGCTCTTGTAGTTAAAATGTCATTAATGATCGGATAAATTCTTTGCGAAAATGGTGGTTGAAGATGACGAAGATGATAAATGCATGTGGCGAAGTGAAATCTCGTCATTTCACTCTCGACATTTTACAGACATCAAAAATGGTACTTCAAATGTTGTTCTCGACAATTACAAACGTCGAGAATGTTGCTTTTAACGCCATTCTCAACATTTGATAATGTGAAGAGTAACATTACAAGTACCATGACGAAATTATGGAACATTTTTTGTATACTACTTATGGGTAGTTAGCATATTCATTTGAGGTATTCGTTATTAGTTGATACTATTTTTTGTTTATGGCATGCAGATATAGTTGATGTTATGAGATTCGTTATCTCCTATGGTGGTACATTCGTCAACATTGACAACGAGCGGAAGTGGCTAGGCAACCGAACAACATCAATTGTTGTTCGACGTGATATTGAATATGAAGAGCTGTACATAAATTATTTGAGAAGCTCAATGTAGACAGACTGCAGTTTCAAATTCAACTGAAACTGAAAGTTTCAAACATGAAAGTACCCCCTGTTGATGTAGCCGACTATGAGACTTTGCAATGTCATATTTCTTTTCACACACAAGCAACTTTGTGTGTAATTACAGATGAATATGATGCTGGAAAGCAAGAAATACATGTCAGAGATGACCTTTCTCGCCCATAGAGGATGCACGCGATAAAGCAAGAAATGATTCATAACACGGCTGTAGGTTTAGGTGAAGGGAATTCGCATATTGAAAATTCAATTAAGTTGATCGATCAAGAGAAAATTCACGAGAATCAAATATTCCTTACCAAGAAACAGTTGTACACAAGGCTTCTACTAAATGCTTTCACAGAGAAGTTTCATTTCAAGGTTAAAAAGTTCAATCCCAGATCTCTTACTGTGTGTTGCGTCGACACCACGTGCCATTGGCTACTATGAGTTTCTAAGATAAAAAGTACAGACTTCTTCAAGATTCAAAAGTACATA